GCACTTGTGTAACTTTTAGTCAATCTACTGCAAACTGAGATCACTGCTTCCATTACACTTGTGAATCTGCACTTGTTCTTGCTTTCAAAGAGCAGAAAGTGAGCCCTGGAGTAAGAACTGACTAAATCCTTCTTGGAAACAGATTATTATTGTTTCATGTTAGGACCAAATCTTCCCTAATGTTCACTCTTTCACCACCACCACTTCTTCCCCAGTAATAATAGATGCTGCTGCTTCTAAGATGCTGGTAGTTACCACCTAGAAAGTGTAGCATCAGCATCTGATGAAACTTCATTATTTCAACATGGTTTTGACAAGGAATAGTAATGCAGTGTGGCTCGGTTTGCTGACTTCAGCACTGAATGACACAAAGCATGTGACAAGACCAACCAGAAGTCCTATAACAAACGGAACTTCTCTCTCCCCTACTTTTTCTCCACTTATTAAAAACATAAAGAAGTAAGAACACTGGCAAGCAGGACACTTGGTATTACTATTCAGATGTAGAAAATGACCAGGATAAGGTCTGCTGTACTTCACCTTGGTCACACCATTTAGCAGCCTCTACATCATTCACTTGTGGAGATTTTTGGAAACAGAGAAGGAAACTAAGAAAAGGTACTCATGTTATTCTAATGATGCAGAACCTGAGCTAACAGAGAGAACCAAAGCATCTACAAAGAAGCAGTTGTATATTTACAAGGTCCCAGAGTCTAGTTGGTTATATCTGTTGTCATCACCTGTAGAATCTTAAAAAAAGTAGGGCTGAAAGGGACCTCAGGGCATCATCTAGTACAACTGCCCTCAGGTTGTTAGTCAAGAAAGGCAGGACCATTCTTACCTAAACAATCCCAATTAAGGGCCTTTTAAACCTGCTCTTAAAAACTTACTAAAGTGGAGAGTCCACAAGTTCTCTGGCTAACGTGTTCCAACACCTAACCACCCTCATAGTGAGAAAGTTTTTCCTAACAGCCAACCTAAATTTTCCTTGTTGCAATTTGAGACCATTGCTTTTTGTTCTGTCCCCTTTGACCACAGCGAATAGTCTAATTGCCATCCTCTTCATAACCACCGTTCAGGTATTTGAAGACTTATCAACTCCTCCCTCATTTTTTCTCAGTGACACTCCTACTAACACAGCCCACTATTGTTCTTGGTCCTTTTTGCCACCAGAGCACACTGGTGGCTCATATTCGTATAGTCCACTATAACCCCCAGGTCATATTCAGGAACCTAGAATAATGCTCTTAGGACTCCTTCTAATGGTCTCATTTTTCTTTGTAGGCTATGGAAGCATGTAAAGATGCAGGCTTAACAAAGTCTATTGGAGTATCAAATTTCAACCGCAGGCAACTAGAGATGATCCTGAACAAGCCTGGCCTCAAACACAAACCAGTCAGCAACCAGGTATGGCCCCAAACGGAGCCTTTGATCCATCTGAAAAATGTATAATGGTGAGGGTGCTGAGGCAATGCATATACTTCAACATATAGGGGGTTGTGTATACATCCATGCGACTCTCTGCAGGTAATACACAACTCCATCATACCACCAGACTTTCCTTCCTAGCCTGAAAGTATGCTACTTTTACTTTCTGTACTAAAACCAGAATCTGTCCCAGGTTCTAAAACAGGGTTGAGTGTTGTGTGAATGCTGGGCCAATAAAAACCTTGTCCATAAATCTTAGCCATATACCTCAGGTTCCTGCCTTGATTCAAAAAGACTCCCAGCACCCAAGACAGATGTACCACTACCCAGAAACTAATAAGCCTTAAATGGAGTTATAGATTGACCTTGTTTAAAAACAACTCAAAGCACAAATACAAGCATAGGAGATACTGTGCCATCATGAGCTCTTTGTCTGGTCAAAGGATCTATCTAAGGCTAAAGAGCCAAAGAATTTCTATGCCCTTCCCATGCTCCCTGTATTCCGTGGGGGTAGAATATCTGACTTTACTACTGAAGTCAGTGGACAGGTCTGAGCAAAACTGACTCTATGGCCTACAGATGGAAACAAATGGCTAATCAGTGATGAATGTAAAACATTGCCATCTAGTGCGGAGGGGGAAACTTTGAATTGAGTGGGTTGGGGTGGAAGTTTTCAGTTCATCTCCTCAAAGAGATACCCAATGGCTGCTCTCTCACATGGTATGGTTATCCCTGCTAGTAGCATCAGAGGAGAGCTCGGCAAAGACTGAATGAGAAGGGGATAGCTAACCCTTTTAGCTCTTGGGGAGGGGCCCAGAAATGCATACTTAGGTTGGAGTGAAACTAGTAGTATAGCATAGGTGAATTTTATTACTGTCCTTGTACCTGTTCTCTACCTGCATTGTAGTTTTATTCCTGATTAGGGTTGTCATCCTAAACACCTTTCACCAGCACTAGAATTCAGGTTAAAATATCAAATGCTACCTTTTGCTATCTGGAATGCCTATTACCTTACCTGTTAAGTCTACATCAGTGCTGCATTCTCCCTCAGGCCAAAAAAAAAAAAAAAAAAGTGAAACCCTTAAGCACAAACCCTTAAGCAATGTCTGTTTTAACTTCAGGATGTTATTATCACCATATTAAAACAGAAGCTGCTCTATTACAGTCTGTGGGAATGACTCCCAGAGGCTGAGAATGTAGCCAGAAAAATTCTGTGGGAGAGTGATACACAATAGTAGCAACATGGGAGGGTAGAGTCTGGGTAAATGATGATGATGATTGTGGCATGGTGTGGTCTGGGTTTTTTCCCCCCACTCTTCCTTCCTTTCTGTTGCTGACATAAGCTATTACCCTTTTCCCCAGTGGCAGTCTAAGCCCTTTAAAATCATGGATATAAAGCGGAGAGAGAGAAGTCCTTTGTTGTCAGAAGGACTGGCCTGCCTTTTGGCACAGTAATCCAGTCGGTTACACGCAATTGTTAGGCAGGTTATACAGGGAAGGTAAGCTAGGTCAGCAGTTGCCCTCATTCTCTCAGTCTCTTTCAGATGCCAAGTGCCTTGTCTCCTCCAGGATTTACAAAATTATTGAGCTATCTGAATTATTTATGAGAAAAGACGTTGCCCATCCTTAAAATAGTGCAACTTTTTTTTTTTTTTGGTTAACCTGGACCTGTTCAGGATCTCCTGCCACTTTCTGCCTGAAGAAAAGCAGCGTAGGATTCCCCCAACCAACTGGTCCTGGATTTGAACGTTTGACCTAGGATTGATAATTGCCACATTCCTAATGCAGATTTTCCCCTTCTTTTCTGTTTCTAATTCATTTCTGGGACTATGGTTTGCAAATATGTAAAATAATCTCTCTTACCTGCCTGTTTTTGAAACTGTCTTTCTATTTGTTGCTTGGTCCTTCTGTTTCACTCACATAGGTTGAATGTCATCCTTATTTCTCCCAGCCCAAACTGTTAGAATTTTGCAGACAACATGAAATTGTTATTGTTGGATATAGTCCACTGGGAACCTCAAGAGATGAAACATGGTAAGCCAGAACTTCCTTCTCTTGGAAATACTAGTGTTGCTTGTAGCAGTGCTCATCCTATAAAAAGGTTGCAAATATCCACACAGATCCAGCAAAGGGTAATGTGGCTAAATGATTACAGTGGTGACTCCCAGCTTTCCACCCCTCTAGGAGTATTTGGAGCAGGCCTTCTCTCCTGGTAGTATTCGGGCTGAGGAGCCAAAGTTCCCATTTTGGAATATGGGTAAATTAACAACACCATTGCTTTCACTAAATTCTAGCCTCTCGGCTTGAGCTTGGGAATTCAAGCTCTGATTCCCAAATTCATAGAATCATAGAAGTAAGTGTTGGAAGGTCAGCTAATCCAACCTCTTACTCAAAGCAGAACCATCACCAACTAGATCATCCCAGCCAATTAGTCTCCCTTCTTAGTCTATCTATGTGCTACCTCTAAAGCAAAATGGTCCCTTCACCTCACTATGCCACTAAGGAATGCCTGGGAGTCCTACAAGGAACCACCTTAGCCAAAAAAAACCACGATTGTAACACAGAGCATTTGAGATTGAAATGAGGTGGTGCAGGGTAGCCAAAATGACTTCCAAAAGGCCTTTGATCTAGTATCCCACAATGTCCTCATGAGCAAATTGGAGGATTGTGGACTTAACCCCAAGACAGTCAGGTGGGTGAGAAACAGGCTTCAGGATAGGACCCAGAGAGTTGTAGTGAATGGATCTGTGTTATTCTGGCGAGAAGTGGGCAACGGTGTCCCTCAAGGGTCGGTGTTTGGTCCAGTACTTTTTAACATCTTTATTAACTATTTGGATGTGGAAGTGAAGAGCTCACTGGCCAAGTTTGTGGACAACACCAAGTTATGGGGAAGCGTGGTCACACTTGAAGATAGGTTACAGAGACAGGTGGACCTAGACAGGCTGGCAAGTTGGGCGGATCAGAATCTGATGAAGTTCAACATTGAAAAATGTGCTTTACCTCGGGATGAGCAACCCCCAACACACCTATAGGCTTGGCGGCACCAAACTGACTAGCACCATGAATAAAAAGGACCTGGGGATAATAATAAACACAGTATGAATATGTGCCAGCAGTGTGATGTCGTAGCCAGTAGGGCAAATAATACTCTGGCATTCATCAATCAGTGCATCTCCAGCAAAACCAAGAAGGTGATTCTTCCGCTCTACACAGCACTGGCGAGACCACAGCTGGAGTACTGCGTCCAGTTCTAGGCACCACACTTTAGCAAGGACATGAACAAGCTTGAGAGAGTCCAAAGAAAGGCCATCCATATGATCAGAGTCTTGCACAGCAAGCCATACGAGGAAAGGCTGAGGGATCTGGGACTCTTCAGCCTGAAAAAAAGAAGGCTGAGAGGGGATCTGGTAGCAGCTGACTGCTACACTAGGGGAGTACATCAAGGGCTCAGTGAGCAATTGTTCACCAGGGTACCCTTGTGGAAAACTAGGAGTAATGGCCACAAACTCCTGGAAGACTGATTCAGGCTCAACATTAAGAAAAAATTCTTCACAGTCAGGGTGTCCAGACTGTGGAATAAGCTCCCTCCAAAGGTGGTGCAATCACCTACCCTGGAAATCTTTAAGAGGAGCCTGGACAGTCACTTTGCTGGGGGTCACCCAACTCCAGGTGTCTTTCCTGCTTGGTGCGGGGGGTTGGACCTGATGATCTTGCAAGGTCCCTTCTGGCCTTACAGTCTATGAATCAAACAGTAGCAGCTCCTATACATGTGTGCAGAGCCTGCTCCGACATGCTGGAAATCCTGTGCATCGGAGCGGACTCAATTAATCAAGTATGCTGCAGCACGAAAATTGATGTGCTCGGACAGCCTTCCAAGTCACGTATCAGCATTGCCGCGCATCTCTGCACTGAAAAAATGGTGGCAGGGTGCTTTGAAATAAAACACATTCAATGAGGTTTAGTTCAAATCATGGGGACACGTGGTGATGCTGAGACACATGACACGAGTGCTTTTAATTAGTCTAGCTCACTAATTAAAGCACCTGGTGCCACGTCCCACAACACACGTAAAAATGTCCTAGGAGACCAAGTACTACAAAAAGACCTGACAAATGGAACTTATAAATGTTGGGAGAAATTTTTCTTCTAGCCTTTATCTTGCTGTCCATCTTTTCTTCTTTCCC